TCACTTTTAGTAAAAAACAATGTGATTAAGGGGCTTTTTGACAAAGCATTTCATCAACTTCTACAAAAGGTTAATGAATGGTATAGTTAAAAAGTTAATAAAAGTTGTGGATCTCGTAAAATGTATAGTTTATATCGAAATTTGATCAGTTAAAAATTGAAATCAAGTTATGTATTTTTAGTGATCAATTTAAAAATATTAATTAATTAATCGAATTGAAACAAATTAAAATTAAGTAATTTTCACGAAAACTAACTTAGCAAATTTCATGAGCAACCCTGAATTATGGGGGTCACAAAATTATTGCCTGCTAACTGGTCCAAAAATGTGACGACAATAATAAGCCCATTTCAATGGTCCCCAAACCTATTCACGTGAAATGGGACCCTAACCAGGCACGCGTTATGCGTGTGAATCGCACGCCCGAAGATAAGGGTCCGAACGCGTGCCGGTCACTACCCACACACGCTTCCCTCGTGTAAAACCTCCGTCCTTTTTCTCTCTCCGCCGCTGGATCTCCGCCGGAAAATTTAATAAGTGTTATTCCTTTTTAATCTTCGTCTTGGGAACCGGACCCCGACGGAGGTCTCCGCTTTCTATTCGTCCGTTGAGATCTGAACGCGAGGAATGTGATATTTCTCAACGGGGTTCGTGACGAAAACATAGTAAGCTGTTTTAAGCATTATTGAGCTGTCGTAAAAGTTGATTTTGTGAAGATTCTAACTTTCTTACTAGTGGCTAATAGAGTAGTGGTGAGGAAAAAAATACAAGAACTAATCTTTTTTCGTCGATATTTGTTGTTTGGTTATTTTAGCTATTCCACTAGTTTCATTTATTGAAATTGATTTAATCTGGAGAAAAGATGAAAAATTCACGAACACCAATTAAGCCAGTGTAATGACTTGAATTGGAAATTCCAGTCCTTTTAATCTGTAATCAAGTGAGATACTTACATTTATTTTCTTATTGTTTTAGGCTTTTATCACATGAATTAAGGTAAATGATACATGTCTCGAGCTATCTTTGGACACATGTGGTCATAAGAATAGCAGAAGTACAAGATGGTTGTTGAATGTTTCATGGCAAACAAATCACATAAATAATGTACGTCTCTATTTCCTTTTCCGTATATTGCCAAGGATCATCTTTATATGTGTAAAGTTTGATCCTTTATGAAATTCACTCAATTATACTTAGTGTAAGATAATTTTGAGACAATCGGTTGGACTACCCGGACATGTAAACACATGCAGTTACTATATAAAGAATGTTCTGATTATACATAATATTGGGGCTATGGGCTATGTTGCTTTCACCAGGAGTCCTAAATTTTAAGATTTATGCTTGACAAACAAGATAAAGGAGAAAACTAGGAAAACTTATGGCAGCAGAGATGCAGAGATTCGGAATGAGTGAAGATGATGATGATGATGAAATTGGGATGGATGTGAAGGAGGAAGATGATGACGATGATGATGAAGAGAAGAACATGACGACTCCTGATATGGTTGGTGGTGATGTGGGTATTGTATCAACAAGCAGCAGTAATAGGTTTATGCAGCACCACCAATTTCAAGAGCAGCTAACTCCACAAGGAGGATCTAGGAGGTGTAGGCCACAAGAAGAGAAGGAGAGAACAAAGCTACGCGAGCGACAACGTAGAGCAATAACTGCAAAAATTTTAGCTGGACTTCGGAGGCATGGGAACTATAATCTTAGAGTCAGGGCTGACATCAATGATGTCATTGCTGCTTTGGCAAGGGAAGCCGGTTGGGTTGTTCTTCCTGATGGAACCACCTACCCTTCCAGATCACAGGTAATCCCCAATGCAACCAGTAATTTTTTGTAGATGTGAATATTAATAGGGATAACAAACAGTAAACAACTTATCTCCATAGGTGCAGGGCACGAGACCTGCAGGATGTACACCTCCTGCAGTGGTGACGTTGTCATCTCCACATATGCCAGCAGAACACACGTCACCTACTTCCTTAAGAGGCATTTCACCTAAGCAGCAGTAATAGGTTTATGCAGCACCACCAATTTCAAGAGCAGCTAACTCCACAAGGAGGATCTAGGAGGTGTAGGCCACAAGAAGAGAAGGAGAGAACAAAGCTACGCGAGCGACAACGTAGAGCAATAACTGCAAAAATTTTAGCTGGACTTCGGAGGCATGGGAACTATAATCTTAGAGTCAGGGCTGACATCAATGATGTCATTGCTGCTTTGGCAAGGGAAGCCGGTTGGGTTGTTCTTCCTGATGGAACCACCTACCCTTCCAGATCACAGGTAATCCCCAATGCAACCAGTAATTTTTTGTAGATGTGAATATTAATAGGGATAACAAACAGTAAACAACTTATCTCCATAGGTGCAGGGCACGAGACCTGCAGGATGTACACCTCCTGCAGTGGTGACGTTGTCATCTCCACATATGCCAGCAGAACACACGTCACCTACTTCCTTAAGAGGCATTTCACCTGGTTATCAGAGTACAGTCAATTATAATGTCAGCCACATGAAAGGCAGTTTTGTTTCATCTCCTTATGATGTGTCCCCCAGCGCTAGATCTCAGAGTTCAGCTATGATGGGTGATGGAGGAGGCATTCAGAGTGATCCTCCACTTGGAGGTTCCATGGATTCAGTCCAAAATAGGCAGGTGAAATGGTTGCTTCTCTTTATTACGATCACTTTTTAGTTGCAGTAAGTTGCACGTGAAACTATGCGATATTTCTGAGGCAATCTTCAAATGTAGAATAAAAGAAAAAAGAAAACAGAAAAGACCGGTAATTTATGCTTTATCCTGTAAGATTGCTTATATAAATCTTATGCTGTATTTTAATCAAATTTTCTATGGTATTTGGATCTTCTTGTGCCTGAGCCTGCAGTCTGCATGCCTTGTTTCCTCGATGCATATATAATATTTTTCCATGTGTTTAAACGATTTTTGTAGGTTATGGATGTTTCTGGCAAGGTGCTGGAGCGTGATTTCGCTGGCACACCATATGTTCCTGTTTTTATTATGTTACCCGTGAGCTTTATGAGTACTCTTATTTTTCCATATGGGCTTTTATTTCCTCTATGTTCTTGCGTGTACTTGTTAACTTGCATTTGGCATCAGAGTATTTTTTGCCTCTGTTATTGTGAAAGTTTCCAAGTTCTAATGCGCTCCCAATCCTTCTGGTGGCAGCTGGGTGTGATCAATATGAAGTGTGAGCTTGTTGATCCCGATGGTTTAGTGAAACAACTTAAATTCTTGAAATCAGTTAACATTGATGGTATTATGGTTGATTGCTGGTGGGGTATAGTGGAAGCGCATGCTCCACAGGAGTACAATTGGAATGGATACAAGAGGTTGTTTCAAATCGTGCGGCAGCTTAAAATGAAGTTACAGGTAAGTTCTGCGAAAGATATGCTGCATCTCTTGCCTTCAATTTTATTTCTTCTCTTTGTGAGTCTCAGGGGGACATTTGACAGGGTTCTTACTTCTGAGAGTTATCTCAGAGAAACTGATTTTCCCTCTTAAAAGGAAAAAATAAGTTTTACGAGGTATTACTTTGTCGATGCCATGCCTTCAGTTCTGTTGCTTTTGTCTATAGCACATCATCTTATCCATGTTTTCAAGGTGCAGAAGAGCAAGTTTAATGGGTACAAGTACTTAATGAATCTTATCATATTCATTTAAGTATGATGGCTGATATATTTAGAAAGTTGACATGCTTTTTGTAAGGCATAAATAGGTTGATGACTTGAATGCCAAAGAAATAACTGTTGTTGCTTATATGTTTCTCTTTAGAATTGTATTAAAACTCGTGAAGTTCTAATTGGGATCAGGTTGTAATGTCCTTTCATGAATGTGGTGGTAATGTTGGTGACGACGTTTGTATTCCCCTGCCTCACTGGGTGGCTGAAATTGGTCGCAGCAATCCTGACATATTTTTCACCGATAAAGCGGGAAGACGTAACCCTGAATGTCTTTCATGGGGAGTTGACAAGGAAAGGGTTTTGAGAGGCCGGACTGCCATAGAGGTATCTGATTCAACATCAAGAAAATTCAAACATGATATAGCTATTAATTTTTTAAATTCTCAGAGCACATTCAAGTTACCACAGTTTTAACTGTATAGTATTTTTTTCTTCTTCATGTCTTGAGTTTTTTGGGGTTTGTAACAAAGTGAAGTTGCCTTGAACAAAAAAGTTCTATGCCAAGTCTACCGACATTTGTTCTATAGGCTGATGGCAACTTCTCTTAGTATTTCAGGGAATCTTACTTTTCTCGTGTTTGATCTCTGATATTCTTAATCTCTTTTTAGCTATCACTGTATGAACTCAATTTGGAACCTAAGCTTTCACTTTGGCTATTGTTGACTGATGAGATCAATTTTTCCCTTCCCTCTCCCTGTGAAAGAAAGGGCTGCAATGCTTTTACCCTACTGGATGGTAGACTCAGTAATTACAAAGTCTATTTTCCTTTCAGTTCTGGAGGAATTTTTATTTTTCACAATTACACAACTATACACATCTTGACGAGTCCGATTTATTTAAAGAACTTTTAGATTTGGATTTGTTGTTTTTATACGGTGAAAAACTTGTGTAGGTTTACTTTGACTATATGAGAAGCTTCCGGGTTGAATTTGATGAATTCTTTGATGATGGCATTATCTCTACGGTTGTTGTTGGACTTGGTCCATGTGGAGAGCTAAGATACCCATCCAATCCTGTAAAACATGGTTGGAGATATCCTGGTATTGGTGAATTCCAGGTAATGGCATATTTAATTATCTTCGTTGCTAATTTATGCAGTGTCAAAATTTTCCCATAACAGCATTCTCCTTCTCCCTACCGAACTATTACGGCCCCTTTAAACAAAAACCGGCTTGTCTCATTATACGTAGAGCACATGCACACCAGATATACCATAAATGTGGTTGAGTTGCTTGAACAAGTTCCGTATTAAGATTCTACAGAAATTCAGAATATCCTTCAAAGCTCCTTAAGCCGTTAGTTCTGTCCAATACAATCTATCAATATATTTTCACCCTTTACAGTGCTATGATCAGTATATGTTGAAAAGCCTTCGTAAGGCAGCTGAAATTAGGGGACACTCCTTTTGGGGGCGAGGACCAGATAACGCAGGTTCCTACAATTCACGGCCGCATGAAACTGGATTTTTCTGTGATGGAGGTGATTATGATGGATATCACGGCAGGTTTTTTCTCAGTTGGTACTCTCATGTTTTGGTTGACCATGGTGATCGGGTGCTTTCTCTGGCAAAGTTAGCTTTCGAAGGCAGTTGCATTGCAGCAAAGGTGAATCAGTTCTTCAGAATTCACTTTTTCATGTGAAAGATGATTTTTCTTATTAAAAGATAAGTAGAATATATTAATATTGCACATAGTATTATAGTTATCTTATATTTTATTACAAGTATAACCATCTGTCTATTTAATGGTGGAATGTAATGTGTCTAGTATTGATGATAGCAAATCAAATAACACATTAAGCTTCTCTTATACGACTCTTGAATCTACAGTTAGCTTATAATTTTTAGACTGTATTTCACAATTAGAAAATTTAAACCTTCGTTACACTTCTGATAATAAATCTTTGTATGTTCATATGATAATGGAATTCAAGTGTGTAATGTATTGATGATAACTAATCAAATAAACATGAAGCTTATTGTTAGGCCTCCCGTCCACTTCACCTATTCTAGAAGACTCAAGAAGGGGGAAGAATCATCTGGAACGAAGGTTAACTAAATTCTGTTTAGGAGCATGTGGGGATGGGAATAAGTTTGTTAGAAACGGGTGATAAATAGGGGGCTAAAGGTAGGGGATAGGCAGGCAATTTGAGTAGTAAAGTAGTCTGGTTTCAATTCTTGTAATCTTGCATTTTGTTGATTAATAGAATTCTTCATTTCATTCAAACAATTTCTTATCAAATTGATATCAGAGCACCAAAATCCTGATGGCCCAAAAGAAAACCGATGTTAGGGTAGAAGCAATGGAGAAAGAAATCGAGGAATTGAAGGGCGAGATGCGGCAGCTTCCAGGTTTAGCAAAATCAGTAGAACAGTTAACACAAAGCATGGCCATGGTACTGCAATCCATGGAGGAAACTAGGAGGACAGTGGTAACTATGGCAAATCCTAAAGCTGGAAAAAGCAGAAATATGGAGAAGGAAGGATCCAGCAATGTTACCGAAGTATCATTTCCACCAAGTATCCCTCTGGCAAACAAGGGCGAACAACGCAACTTGGATCATGGCAAATGGCTAGAGGGGACGATCGAGGCAAGTTTCGATGGAAGTTTGGACAGGGGTGAGAATTGGCGAAGCATTCGTAAACTCGAGATGTCCATCTTCAGCGGAGTAGACCCAGACGGGTGGTTATTTAGGGCTGAAAGATAATTTGACATTAATGGATTAACCGAGCAGGAGAAATTGGGGGTGATAGGGGTGAGCCTCGACGGTGACACACTTTCATAGCTTCAATGGACGGAGGCTCGAGCTCCGTTTCAAAACTAGCGGCAGTTCAGTCAGCAGCTATTGCTGCTTTTCCAGCCTACACAGGAGGGAAGTATGTGTGAAAGATTTCTGGCGATCAAACAAAGGGACACGGTGGCTGAGTTTCGGCGGGAGTTCGAAGTCTTGGCTGCGCCACTGAAGGAGATACCAAAGGAAGTCCTGGAAAGTACTTTTGTTAATGGACTCAAGCCAGAGATACGGACAGAAATCAGGATTTTGGGCCCAAAAGGATTAGGCTAGATTATGGAGTTGGCCCAAATGGTGGAAGATCGTAACTCCATAATCAAAGAAACGAGGGATTCAGCAGCCCATAGGACCCCCAAATTACTCCCAAATCGCTGGAAGCCAGAGATGACCTTCCCTATCAAAACTGTCACGGTGGGAGAAAAGTCGGTTAGCGACCGGCGAGATTGCCCAACCCGGCGTATGTCGGACGCGGAATGGCAGATGAGGCTCGGCAAAGGGCTTTGTTTCTGGTGTGATGAGAAATTTACCATGGGTCACCAGTGCAAGAACCGCGAGCTACGGGTTCTGCTGGTTGAAGGGGACGATGACGAAGAAGCAATTGATGATTCAGAGGCGGCACAACCTTTCGAAATGGCTAACAAGGTAGAGCTATCATTAAATTCGGTGGTTGGGCTAACTACCCTAGGCACCATGAAATTGAAGGGGAAGGTAAGCTCAAGTATAGTAACAGTGCTAATCGACTGTGGAGCAACCCACAATTTTATGTCAGTGGATATTGTCCAGAAGTTGGGAGTTCCAACCACGGCAACAACGAATTATGGGGTGGTTATGGGAACAGGCAAGTCAGTGAAAGGAATGGGCATTTGTAAGGGTGTGGTTTTGGAATTACAAGGTTTGACTATAGTTGAAGATTTCTTGCCTTTGGAATTAGGGAGTACACACGTGGTACTTGGGATGCAATGGCTGGGAAGTCTGGGTAATATGGAAGTGAATTGGAAACTTCTCACTATTAGGTTTCGAATGGGCGAGACTTTGATGATGCTAAAAGGGGATCCAAGACTTAACAAATCTGCGTTTCGTTAAGGGCCATGGTGAAAGCATTACAAAACGAAAGGCAGGGAGTCTGGGTAGAGTATGACGAGCCAACTGCTGGGATGGAAAACAGGGCGGAGTTGCCCAAGGGAGTGCAGACATTATTACAGAAACACCAGCAGGTATTTAAAGAGCCCCAAGGGTTACCACCCCATCAAGATACGGATCACTCGATTCTATTAAAGGAAGGGAATGAACCAATTAGTGTCAGGCCTTTCCGATACCCCCACATCCAGAAAAACGAGATTGAACGACTGGTTCGAGAAATGTTAAATGCAGGGATTATTCAGCTAAGTGTTAGCCCCTTTTCTAGTCCAGTACTACTCGTTAAGAAAAAGGATGGTAGTTGGTGGTTTTGTAGATTACAGAGCATTGAATAAAGTGACACTTCCAGACAAGTTCTCCATTCCCGTGATCGACGAGTTATTGGACGAGCTCCATAGAGCCACCGTAGCGTTTCGGACGCACGAAGGACATTATGAGTTCCTTGTCATGCCCTTTGGTCTCTTCAACGCTCTGGCAACTTTTCAGTCATTAATGAACCAGGTTTTAGGGCCTATTTAAGGAAGTTTGTGCTGGTCTTCTTTGACAACATTTTAGTCTACAGTAAAGATCTCCCTACACATGAGCAACACTTGGAGATGGTCTTTACCTCTCTGGCCACTCATCAGCTATATGCAAACGCGAAGAAATGCATCTTCGCCCAACGATAGATAGAATACTTGAGCCACTTGGTGTCGGCCGACCCAAACAAAATAGAAGCAATGGTGCATTGGCCTACCCCCTCGCAATCTCAGAGAATTAAGGGGCTTCTTGGGCTTGACTGGATACTACAGGAGATTTGTGGCAGGTTATGGGGCAATATCTTGGCCACTAACCTAACAACTTAAGAAGGACGCATTTGGATGGAATGAAGAGGCAGAAATAGCATTCCAGAAACTGAAGTCAGCTATGACAATTGTCCTTGTCCTCGCCCTTCCAGATTTCTCTAAGCCCTTCAAAATCGAAGCAGATGCATCAGGTCACGGGTTGGGAGTGGTACTCATGCAAGAGCAACGGCGCATCACATATTACAGTCAGGTGTTGTCTGCCAAGTCACAACACAAATTTGTCTACGAAAGGGAGTTGATGGCAATTGTGCTCACTATCCAAAAATGGCGACAGTATCTCCTGGGAAGAAAATTCATAGTCCGCACTGATCAGCGCAGCTTAAGATTCCTCCTTGAGCAGAGAGTCATCTTGCTGGAATTTTAGAAATGGGTAACCAAACTACTGGGATATGAGTTCGAGATGCACTATAGATTGGGGAGGGAAAACAGAGCCGCAGACGCCTTGTCACTGGTCCCCAGCACAGTTGAACTAGCTGCCATCACAATTCCCCAGGTAATTGATGTCCAGTTGATAAGCAATCTAGTAAAAAATGACCCGTCGCTCTCAAAGATTACGAATGCTTTACAAGAGGACCCAGATGCTTACCCTAGATATTCAGTCGAACAGGGCTGGTTAATTTTCAAAGGTCGTCTCGTCATTACTCAAACTTGTTCCCTAATTCCTTCTATCTTGAAGGAATTCCATAGCAGCACCATGGGGGGACACTCTGGGTTCCTACGGTCCTACAAAAGGGTAGCCAGCAACCTCTACTGGAAAGGGATGAAGAAAGACATCCAAAAGTTTGTGGAAGAATGTGCGGTTTGTCAGCAAAACAAGTCTCTTGCCCTTTCTCTAGTTGGACTCCTGCAGCCATTACCAATACCCAGTCAGATATGGGAAGATATTTCTGTTGATTTTGTTGAAGGCCTTTCCACATCTGGTGGATACAATGCCTTGCTGGTTGTGGTCGATCAATTGAGCAAATATGCCCACTTCTTACTGCTGAATCATCCTTTCATAGCCTAGGAGTAGCAGCCCTCTTTGTCAAGGAAATCATACGGCTTCATGGTGTTCCTAACTCCATCATCTCCGACCGAGACAAGGTCTTCCTGAGCCATTTTTGGACGGAGATTCTTCGCCTGCTGGGAACAACTCTACGCCGAAGCACTACCTACCACCCTCAAACGGATGGACAGACTGAAGTTATTAACAGGTGCCTTGAAACATTTCTCCGATGTTTTTCCTATGACAAACCTAAAAGTTGGTCCACTTGGGTCCCTTGGGCTGAATATTGGTATAACACGACATTTCACGCCTCTACAAATACCACTCCATTTCGAGCAGTTTATGGAAGGGACCCCTCGCCTCTAATTCGTTATGGCAGCCAATCCACTAAGGTACAATATGTTGAACATCAGTTGCGGGAGAGGGATCTAATGTTGGATGAACTGAAGGCTCATCTCAGTCGTGCCCAAGATAAGATGAAGTTAACAACAGACCAACATCGAAGGGATGTCCAATATGTTGAAGGGGATTTAGTCTATGTCAAGTTACGTCCATACCGCCTTCGTTCTTTGGCAAAACGACCTAATGAGAAGCTAGGGCCTAAATACTTTGGCCCGTTTGAAGTGCTGAAACGCATAGGACCAGTGGCCTACCGTTTGGACTTGCTTTCCAGCGCCACAATACATCCGATTTTTCACGTATCACAATTAAAGAAGGCCCTGGGATCAAACACAGTCAATCAATTGTTTCCCCAGCAACTCACTGTTGACTTGGAATGGGTTATAGAGCTAGAGCAAATTTTGGGCATACGTCAAGCACCTTCGGGAAAACCTCTCGGGAAAGAAGTACAAGTACAGTGGAAAAACTTGCCAGCGACAGATGCATCTTGGGAATCAGTGGACTCTATCTTACAACACTTCTTCGACTTCCACCTTGAGGACAAGGTGTGTTTGGAAACTGGGGGTAGTGTTAGGCCTCCCGTCCACTTCACCTATTCTAGAAGACTCAAGAAAGGGGGAGAATCATCTGGAACGAAGGTTAACGAAATTCTGTTTAGGAGCATGTGGGGAGGGGAATAAGTTTGTTAGAAACAGGTTATAAATAGGGGGCTAAAGGTAGGAGATAGGGAGGCAATTTGAGAAGTAAGGTAGTCTGGTTTCAATTCTTGTAATCTTGCATTTTGCTGATTAATAGAATTCTTCATTTCATTCAAACAGTTTCTTATCACTTATCTTACATGTCTATTTAGTTAGGCAAGCATGACCTTGACAAGTCACAGAAAGATGGAATGCATTATACCGACATCTATATATTTTCATCCTTTTTTCCTGAGCTATCATATAGACGCGAAAATAAGTGCATATTTGATATGACTATTCAAGGAGATCATATTACATATACATGTGGATGTTAGGGTAGTTTATTATGCACACAAAGTACAATAAATTAACTGTGCATCAGTATCAATAGATTGCTTTGAAATTTTTTTATGGACTAACATGACCCCATTTTCATATCTTGCCAATACTTTAAATTTTACACAGATTTCCGGAATTCATTGGTGGTACAAGACAGCTAGCCATGCTGCTGAATTAATTGCTGGATTTTATAATCCATGCAATCGAGATGGTTATGCTGCTATTATGGCAATGTTGAAGAGACACGGGGCAGCACTAAACTTTACATGTTCTGAAATAAGCATGTTAGATCAGCATATGGAATTCTCTGAGGCACTGGCTGAGCCCGAGGGATTAGCCTGGCAAGTACGTGGCTTCTTGATCTTCAAAAAGAACTCCCTTTTCTCCAGTTAGAGAATATTTTGCATCAGCTATCCATTGATTTGTTTGCGTAGTAATATCAGTGGTTTGCAGGGTAATTGTTTAGAAACATGCACACTATTCTTTCAATATTTCTCATTGTAACAGCTTATATCGTAGGTATTGAATGCTGCATGGGATGTTTGCATACCAGTTTCTAGTGAAAATGCTCTTCCATGCCATGACCGGGATGGTTATAACTATTTACTGGAAAAGGCAAAGCCAATGAGTGATCCAGATGGCAGGCATTTTTCTTCTTTTACCTATCTAAAACTCAGCCCACATCTCTTGGAAAGACGCAACTTTGTTGAATTTGAACGATTCATCAAGAGAATGCATGGTAAAATTATCCTAATACTTCTTTTTTTTTTTACAAGATTTTTGATAGTTATTGTTGTTTCCTTTCTAAGGCAACTAGGTACTAGTAGTCGTCGACTACTTCTTAGCTATCGAAGATTTGTTAGGAGTTGAATATTTTACGAAAGTTCTCGGTAGATTGGCCTTTATAAGATGCATCATATTACATACTCGTGTATGCATCCACAACTTAAAATTTATTAGGAGTGGAGTAATGCTTAGGGTTCATTTGATATATCTTTTGCTTCCTGTAGAAGAGTTTTTGGATAAAGTTATCTTAATTTTTATTTGAAAATTAATTTTGAATAGCACTCTCTGTTCCGGAGTGCTTTTAGAAGAAATCACATTATACCAATTTCCTCTAAAAACTCTTCTAATTATTAGAAGTACTTTATAAAATTAGCCAAATAGGTCCAAAAGCAACTTTTGGATCACAAAATCTCTTATTGACTTTTCAAAGTCTTGCTAAACAGGCTCTTAGTTCAAATCTTGTTCTCATACTTTTAGCAAACTAGATTGCCCCGCACGTCACCCAGGATAGTATTGTTATCCACTCAAATGCACTCCAAATCACCTCAAACTTGGTAGGATTCTAACATCTCAAGGAACTACGATCGAAACAATTTCTCAAAACTCTGTCAAGTCCTTGTCCTCGTTGAATGAAAGGGCTGTCAAGAGGAATGTGTCATCTCTAAATAGCTTTGCGAATTCTATTTTTTAGTAACTCCATCATCTTCACCAGCAAGTTTAAGCATGGAATATATTAGTGCATTATTTACACATGCATGCTAGGTGAATCAACACTAGCAGAAATGAGACAATTGTAATGTGACTTTTCAATGTCAATTGCAGGAGAAGCTGTACTCGAGTATCAGACATAGTTGCAGAACTCCCGACTTGTATTCAAGTTGAGGCCGGAGAGGGAACCATTTTAGGTACACTAGTAAAGGAAATGAAGTATACAGTGGATCCTTTTATCATTCTGTTAATATAGAGTAACAAATCAGCTGATCAATTCTACAGTACTTGTTGAGGGATTCAATTCAACCTGTGGAATTATATAAATTATAGATTTTTATTTTAGGTTCTGTTTAATGAACGTACAGTCTGCTTCAAATTTATCTGCCCTGCATTCCATGCTCAAGTGCAAACTTCCAGTTGGGTAACCTTTGGCTCTCTGGTCATTCCCAAAATTGAGTCTTTGACTAAGCTTATATACGAGTAAAGGTTGTTTTTAGAGGCCTTCTTATTCCAAATATGTTTAGATAAGTAACTTTTTTTATTTTTTAAGTGGGAAAACTTAATTATATTATTGATACGTAGTACCTATTTGGTTAACATAAAATTACGGATTAAAGTTTAAATCAAAGTTAAGAATTAATTTTAAATCACAAATTTCATGAGATTCTCAATTTTTTAACAATGCATTCCATGAATTTTTATCAAAATATATTAAATTTTTTATTTTTTATTTTTTATTTTTATCTAAATCAAGTAGGGCTTAGTAGCATATTTATTTTTAATATGGATCAATAAAAAACAAATTATTTTAAAATTCACTCGTTTAATTATGAGTAGATTTACTCTAATCTGTCCAAGTTTGGTAAAAAAATGTTCCGGCCCAATTTTGTTTTGTTTTTCACTCTCAGAAATTGTGATCTGCAAGAGGGGGGCGGATCGTGGACCGAATTTTGCCAATTAATGCTGATTATGTTCCATCATGCGGCAGTGATGAGAAATACAAGACTTGTGAAGTAACAAAGGTACTTTTCCAATAAAAGAATGAATGTCATTTTCTGAGCTAATTCGAAAGTTATTTATCCAGCCTCGAATTCGTTGACTCATTCGTATAAAAAACGACCCCGGCAAGATTATCCCAGCTCTCTAGCCTCTCGGACGATTTAAAAAGAAAAATGGTGTGTTCTAGTTGAGTTTTCTCCTTTCTCCATCTCTTGGAAAGTTCCATACGAAGGAGGGTATGCGAGGGGAACATCCAATGCAATCGCCCTCTCTATTGCGGCTCGATGCTCCTCCTTGTGTTCTTTGGCAAGAGATTTCTGCCGCTCCATCCTCTGTGCTACCGGAATATCCATAACCTGCTCGCTTTCCAGCAGTGTCTGCACTAGAGCAAAATAAGTAATATTCAACACAATGGTAGAAAATTGTTCGTCATTCATAAACCGCTAAATATATTTAAGAAGCTTATGAACAATTGGCAACAAAGTAGAATTCGAGATAAATTGGGTCAGCTACATAAATTATTCTTTTCCACTCCATTTCATTTATTGTTAGACCTATTGAAAGATGAAAAGAAACTACAGCATGTCTCGTGCCTCATTGACGTCAACCTCACAAGTCAACAACCAAGCCAAGACGAAGACGATCATTATATTTTAAAGAAGCTCGTGAAAAATCATAAAACTTCATTCCGTAGGAATTGAGAAACAGAAAATTTATCTTAGACAAAGCATTAAGAGCTTGATTCGATGAGTTTAGAGTTAAAAAGTGAGCTAGAATTGAGTGGCTTATTTTTTGATATCTCTATAAGGTACAACAGATGTGTTCCTGTGCTTCAGATGTACTGGTCCATCATCCCGGCTCCCGCGGTAAATGTGAACTAATTCTAGACATCCTCTAATTAAAATTTTTTTCATTTTCTTATATATATATGGTTGAGGAATCCAAACCTCCCTCAGCATTTCCTTGTGGCGCATGAAAACCCACTATGGCTGTGTTGATGTTTTACTAAAAAAAATAAAAATAAAGTCAAAGCACAAGGAAGATCTTTCCCATCCTAATGAGAATCTACCCACAAGAACAAATTTGAAGATCACTTTTTCTAAAACAAGAAGAATTTAAAGTTGTCTGCTAGAAAAATGAGAACTTACATCAAACGCTCTTTGAGATTCCTTAAGTATCCAAATGATGGCATGATCTGAAGTTAAATTGCAAGAGAGGACTAAGTGCTCAAACCGTCCATCGACCGGGACTGCAGTCTTAACAACTGGAGAAATTTTTTTGAACCTGCACATCAAATAAACTTTGTTAAAAATAAATTCAGCATCAAGTTGTGCTATTTTAAATATGTCATCATCTAGAGAGAATCACTATAACTTTGCATCTAATAATCAGACACCAGTTCTCATGTCCTATTATTGGATTTTTCAATTTATGAGTTTTTTTTCCTCTTTCAGATGCTAGTTGTAGTTAACGTTTTCAACAAAATACTGTAGGTGTAGGAGTTAGAGGAGTAGCCATAGCCTAATTGCCCCTCCATGCTCGTTACAGCAACATCCCTTTTTTTTTTTTTTTCTTTTTTTTGGGAGTCTCTCCAATCCCATAATTTCTCAAAAAAATTGTACATAGTTCACTCCATACCTGAAGGGCTTCCTCACAATAATGTGATATAGGCGACCGGGTGCATACAGGCGCCTTGGATCCTGGAGCATCTTCTCCTCTAGTGTGCATGTATCTTTCAAGCACATTATGCACATCAAGCATGGGAAACTATCCAAAAGAAGCAAAATTAGTATTTGTGGGAGTAAAACTTACTAGATTAAAAAATGTCGGTGCATGCAGATTTAAAGCCTCACATTCAGGTGATGATGAGTTTGCCAAAAGCCTTGATAGATTGAGAAACAAACGAATTTTATGGATTTTTTACTTGCTAAATTTAGAAGTGTAAATGCTATGTGGCTGATCAATTGATGATTATCATTTGAACTCTGCTGGCTGTACACAGGGCCTGTACAGGCCACTCACAATGCATGGGGGGTGGGTGAATTTTTTTTTTTTTTTTTTTTAATTATTCCCCCCCCCCCCCCCCCAACACCCCCCCCATACATTATCATTGAGTTTCATTGGAGCTAACATGAAAATGATCCAGTATAGCAACTCCATCAAAAAGAAAAAAATAGAACACTTCAAAAGTAATTGATCTCTTGAAAAACAATACTATTCTGCCTAAGAATGAATGTCTCTATTATTCACCAAACATCATAATAAGGCAATACAGAAAGACGGCAAGACCTGAAACTTTTTACCAGAAAAGTGATTTGAAAACATCTTCCAGTGCTACTGTTGTCCGCGGTAAGAAATCATCCTGGTTAACGATGAGAAAAACAGATAAGAATATGATAAATAACCTTTAGGCAGAAAGGAGAAGTATTCATTCCAGGGTAAATGAAGCGAAAACATTGAATATATCGGAATCTATAGTTAGCTGGTACTTGAAGACCTAAAAAGGCATCTCCTTTCCATCTGTGTTTGCACGGTGTGTCTGTACTGTGGGTCATCGAGGTTATTTAATCGATTTATCTTCAGAAAGAAGTCTTGTACAACCTTAATCCTAAGATCAGCAAAAAATGCCTCGGTCTTAGGAATCATGGTATGACTTAATATTTTATCAAGAGCCCAGGATTATAAATTCAAAACATATTTATTTATCCATACAATGTGGTTTCAAAGAGTGAACTTCAAAAGATTTTCACCAAAATGCTATTTGCTAACGCATTTTCATCAAGGCAACTAAAAGATGAACAGGCACATGTGAAAGATAATAAGCCTCTAGGTTATAACAGAAAGATTACATAAAATTATGAGGATTCTATCGTCTAAGCATGAGAAATTGCCTCAAGAAAATGTATGTTTCATAGCAGAATCCCATGGGCTTGTACAATGTGAAGAGAACATGTCTGATGAATTTCTTGAATATAATCTACTCAAATGCCCAGCAAGCTAAAATAGCCAGTAGGTAAACCTAAACTGCATATATCTCCATTGCAACATTATTATTAACATGAAGTAACCAATCCTCGAAGCAAATCAAAGCAAACTAGGTCCCTAATTGAGACATCGATATTACCTGCAGCACAACCGAATTGATGATATCTGCATATCGTACGGCCAAGTTTAAAGATATACACCTAGTAGGAGCAATTGCAAAGCATCTAATCCTTTTTCTCTTAATGTTCCCCAGCTTTTCCCTATTCTTTACAGCCAACATAGTTAACAATGTTACAACTCCTGCACCAAGTGAATGCCCGGCAAATGTCAACATATAATCCGGATTCCTTTCAAGAAGCTCCCTAATTATCTCACACTCTTCTTCTAAAACATACTGAGCTGCCTTCAGCAATCCATTGTGAACATAACCACCATCATATTTTGTCTGCCCGAGTCTGTTGTCAAGTAAGAGTAAAAAATCACTTTCTTTTCCCAAATTAAGCCCGCTAATTGCTACAACTATATCTCTATTCTCACGATCAAGATAGATCATGTAAGGAGATACTCTCCCTTGAGTATCTCCATAATCCTTTTTTAATACAACAAAATCTGGTTCGATTCCATACCCTCCCGGGGGAGCCCACAAAGGGTTTCTAAGATCATCTTCATACACTGATAGAATATATCTACAAAACCGGGGCACGGGTTCGAATTCACTAGCAGTTGCAAGGCCCCAATTCTCACTTTCACGGCCAGCAGTGTACAGAAATTTCTTCCACACCCATCGAACACACGCTAGACAGGACACACATTCAACAATTGGAATACAGCAGGCAACTGACATTTATGCCTACAAGTTAATCATACTAAACAGAAACACCACAAAGTCTTACACAGCAAAAATAAAAGGAAAAAAATTCTGGATTCTTAAATGGGTTTTGATTGTTCTGCAAATCAAATATATGCAAACAGGCAAAGTCCAATGGTATACTTTCAAAGACAAGTATTTGGGTTTTTTTGGAAGTTCTATCAAGAAGACAGAAAAATCAACTTTCGATATTAAGATTCGTAAAATATGCACCCAAAGTATAGACTAGTCACTGGATTACCCACAAGAACAGAAGTATTTGAACGATGAATTTTAGAAGATACAGTACAACAGCAGCTTATCAACAATCAATTTAACTATTTGGGAAATAAAGGAAGAATTTTTATTTAGGGAAAGAATTTTTCAAGAAAAGATAATCGTTCACGTGTATGAACAAATGGGGGACAAAATGTCGAATAATAAAAAAAATAAAAAATATAAGGAGGAGAAAATGTTGGAAAGACGTAAAATAGCTGCTAACTGCAGGTCAAAGACATTGTCTTTTGGGTCGCTTTCCTGAGAATCTGTTCAGCGTTATGCTCGGATTCCATTAATTAATTGGCATGACAACCTTTTTCTGGGTTTGCTGGTTGGTACACTGTAATAAATTAAAAAAAAAAAAAAATAATAATGCTATCCAGCATCATCAATAGTGCAGAAACAACTATTCATGTGAAATTATGCAATAGATTCAATAAAATGTAAAATTATGTCATGATTGTTCATATAATTGAACATATAAATCAACGTCATCAATACTATCACCTAAACTGATGTTAAGCACCAATTGTGCTAAATAATATCACTCAATTAATAAATATTCTTGCTCGAGATATTAAATGCATAAGGTGTTTAACTAATCATTTTTCAATCAAATTACTACTGAAATAATCACTGGATTTAAAAATGGGTAGCTTTTTTGGTTTGAATAAACAGAGGATTTATCGACTGTGAAAGTGAGTTTACTACCCAAGCGTGGTATCAGTGGTGGATTTTACTTAGGGTCATGAGCTTCTTCGATATGGAGAATCGGGCTATAACTTATATGATTTTAGTTTTTTAGGCCAGGTCGGTGCTTGGTAAGGATGTAGAATGGGTTTACGACTTAGCCCCGTTTGGTTCTGATTTCAGTAACGGGGGCTTGGGGCCTTGCTAAGTTAATATGGCATTTATTATGACCCAAAAGGTTAGCTCTTTGTCTGGAGTGGCTACAGGTTTTTTAATTTAATAGCATCAAGAAGTACTGAGATTTACAGCTTGTTTGGGAGCGATTTTTTGTCCTAAAAAATTGATTTTTTTTTATCGTTATTTCACTATTTCAGTCGTTATATTTGACTTCTTCTCTCACAGGTGGACCCCACTTTTTCCTAACGGTCAAAAAATCAATTCTCTAAATCATTCCCAAACAGACTCTTAGTTTTTTCATGTTTGAATCTTTTCCTCAAACTTCGTCCTTTACTCACAAATAAATTCATAAAATTTATGAAAATCTTGACGCTTTTACTTTTTAATATAAATATATTAAACACAAAATGCCTTGTCTTTAAAATTTTGATCAAACGGACTTGGCAATTAATGGTCAATGGAGAGTCGTCTGGACTCTGAAAAATATTACATATAAATATAATATTAAGTATTGTTTGGCGCCCATTATAATGAGATTTTAAAAATAATATATTTTAAAATAATAATTTTTTGAAGAATAAGTGACTAAAAAGGAAGGAACGGTTTTTGAATTATATGTAATATTATTTTGTTCGAAATTGTGTGATTGAAAAGAAGAGATGAAGAAATATATTAAAATTTTAATGGGCCAAACAATGGCTAAGTATTTAACTACCCTGTAGATGCCATATCGAAATATTATAATTTTGCTAAAAAGGCATTTAATTAACTGTTAACCAATGCACTAAGCAACAGTGGTTAAGAAGATGGCGGCTTATTCGTTTCGTTTGGTTACCTAAGTCCACTATTTGGTACGCCAAACACTATAATTTGTGTTGTTTTCTTCTCGAAGGTTAATGATGTTTATTCATAACATGCATGCATGTTCCACGTGTTTGATGTTTCAACAATTTGTTTATGTTTTGATATGCCTAAAAATGATGATACCTTTTCGTTAGCGATAGAATTAGGAAAGGACAGATTTATTTATTTATTTTTTACAGAATTAATATATAAACGAAAAGGAATTTCATCTATATAAAAATGGGTTAATTTTACAAACGGTCATTGAACGTACCTTAAAATGTCAAAACGATCACTAAAATTTCAAACTTTCAAAAACGGTCACTGAACTTTGAGGACGGTTACACAAATGGTCACTCCGTTAAGTTGGTAGTGTTAAGTGCTGACGTGGTGACGTTGAATGATTACGTGGCCGTTAAATAAGATGTTCATTATCACCATTAGAACCTTTATAATTTTAATTGAAACTGAAGAATCAAAACACATAAATAGAGAACCTTGAGGACCTCAAGGTTAAATTCCATCTAAATAACCCCCCACCCAAACCCAAATGAGATGCAGCCCATTCACTTGGGCATTAGGGTTCTTGTCTTCTTCATCTTTTCCTACAAAATCCAAACTAGTAATTATCCTCAAATTTCCTCTATAAAAAACCTTGATCTTTTCCTGAGCTACCAATTAAGAACTCTAATTCTCAAATCCTCCCTTGAAGTCGAAGAAGCAGGACCACTATTTTAAAATTTATTCGAAGAGGTGGGACCATAATGTTGAAAATGTGTTGTTCAAAATCAATAAACACGTGTGTGGAATAGAAGGAACAAAATTGGAACATAAAATTGAAACGGTAGCTGCATGTTTAACCATGCGACCACATGGTCCGCATGGCCATATGCTGAGCGTAAAAAGCTCGGTCACAAATATATCATACGACCACATAGAACAATAAATCGACCGTTGGAGGCCGTTTTTCAATTGGTTTTTTGATGGCTTTTGGAGGGATTCTTGTAACCCTTCATCATATTTTGATACCTATTCGTGGAGTATCGATTCAAATCTATAAATAGGAGATGGAGGGATCAATACATGGTGTTGAAATTATGTAACAAATATATGATAAACATTTTTTCATTCTTTCTTCTTTCATATTCATTTTTTCCTCCTTTTGTTTATGAAGTTTTGAAGAAAAACACATGTGCTTAAGTGTTTGATTCTCTACAAGACTTGATTAATCCTACAAACCGTTTGCCGTGAGACTCTTTAAACACCAAAATTGTTATTGAGAGGGGGCAAATATCGTTTGAGGACAACGATATAATGTCATGTTTGAGCCTTTCATATTTGGTTTGTTCTTCACGTTTATTTCATCTTCTTGATATCACTTCTATGTTGTTTCTTCTCCAACCCCGATGACGATAATTTCTCAACAATCTCAAACGATACGATAACAATGAAGAAAGAAACCACTTTGGCAATGATCAAGTTGATGGATAGAGATTTTGTTCGTGTGGACCGTTTGATGGCACTAAATGGTTCGATTTGTAGAAAGATATGAATCCAGATTTTCATATTCAAATTTGGTAAATTCAATTCACTATCTCCAAATTCGGTAAGTCGAAATTGCTTTTCAATTTCACGCATTCATACGGTATGTGAATATTTTATGTATGCAATCTGAGATTCTATTGCAAATCTGAAAGGAAAATTTGAATCGGTGCATGCACGAAAATCCAATATAATGTGTTCAAAATGCAATTCCCCATGAATTCAATTTCTAATATGACCAAGTGAGATGGAGAAAACTGCTTATGATATTGGCACGTGTATGCATAATCTCGGCTTGGAATTAGGTTGTCATTGCATGAGATTGAATTTCTTAAAATAAGATTGCAAAATTCAGTTTTCCTTTTCGGTTTATGTACTGTTCATGATTCTATATGGCATATTCTCATTTTAAACCCGCACATGATAGAGATTATTTTGATACTACACTACCTTTATGGGAAAATTGTCTGTTAAAATAATGGGAAAAAGGATGTCATGAGAATTTGATTATGCATAAATAGAGGCATGTGTGAATTATGGGAAAAAGGCATAAACAATTTAAACGGGCATGTTTTAATTTTTGGAGCCTTTTTCATTTACAGTCATTTTATTCTAAATCTACATGCATACGTTGCTGATATATGAAACGGTGGATTTATTGACTATATTGAATTTACTACTTTATCCTCATGTCTTTTTGGTGATCTAAAATAAAAGGGCACGAATTCTTGTCTTCATGTCGTTTGGTGTAAAACAGACTATATATTTTATAAAATGACATATATGCCTTTTGGTATGTGCATATATTTGATCAATTAATCAAGAAAAATGTTTTAGTGGCACAAAACCTTGATTCTCTTCTTTGCATATGGTTAGATATGTAACGGTAAAAGAATTCCGTCAATATTTGATAAACATAATATGTTTGACATTATGGCTTTTGGGAAAGCCCAATTTTATTGTAAATGAAATTAAATGTATTTTCATCTTGCTGATCTGAAAAGTTTATGCGAGTTGTTCTCTTTTCAAATCTATTGTTAAATTTTAATATGTCTAAATTGAGAAACATGTTCGGTGGATAAGAATATGGTTGGTTTTTTGCCATGATTGTTCATATCCGTTGGAAATGGGAATTAAATGTAAATGAATGTTTCTCTTTATTAATCCACATGTTTTACATGGATGCACTTACATAAAAAAAACGTGGTATTGAGAGGAATAATAAGTGTTACTTAAGATTGTTTATCCATGTTGGATTTGATGTCTAATTCGATGATGAAAATTATTTGCCATGAAAATAGTTTCTGTTGGAAAGCCTTAATTATCTATTTTGCATCTCTATTGGTTGTAAATTGTATTACTTTATGAAAGAAATTATGTGAACTTTCATGACCATTTCTTCTACTAGAAAAATGGAAAATTACATATGGATTACTTCATCTTGATGAACGTCATTACATGTAAAATTAAAACAAATTGGTTATTCTTACTTTGTTGTGACAATTGGAATAGTTCACATGCATGAATATTAAAGAATACAATTCAAACCAATTTGGGTTGTCATATTTGCTTGGATGATACACAAACCCACTTGGGTAGCCCACATGTTTCTGTAAGGGGTCATTTATTGCACGGTGCATTTGTCATTATGTTGGCTTATAGACTCCAAAATGCAAGTAAAGCACATCCATATTTGTGTTTTGAGACCAGTCTATTAAAATTTAATGGGTCTAAAGGATGTGAAAAAATGTGGAAGGATACCTACTATTTGTTGAAAGTACATGAAATTTCATGACTACTTCTTCTATTGGAATATGAGAATACATGATAAATTTGATGGTTGATTTCATGTCCTATTGAAATGTTGATAGCCACAATTAAGTGAGATAATCTTATGCAAAACCGTGTTGCATATAAATGTGACAAAATGTGATTTTGTTCAAAAGTAAATAAGGTGAATATATGCCTTATTATTCGAGATGATAAAATGTTAGT